TTTCTTTGTGTCTCCCTTAGTCCCCTCCTCCCATCACCCCCTTTCCAAAAAAAAAAAAAAAAAAAGCCCATTTCCATCCTATGGCCTGCCTTGGTGGGGAGGGAATGAACTCTCCGGAACTACAAGGCCCTTCTCCTGGAAGAGAGAGCAGTCAGGTGCAGAGTGTGTGGGGAACTCAGCCTCTAGTCTGCCACGCTGATGACTCAGAAGCTAAATATAGCGAGCGATATAAACAGAGCCAGCCACAGAGCAAACACAGGGCCCCCAGCCCCGGCGCTGGCTATCACGAACTCTGGCTCTCCGCAGTCCCTCCCCCAGCTTCACTCTTCCCCTGGCACTGTCCTAGGTGGGCCTCCCACTCCTGGGACAGAGGCTGGCTTCCTAGGGACCCTTCTCACTCTATAGCAAACCTCTGGAGCCCCCGCCCAGGGCTGCCCCATCTAGACCCTGAGCAACCTAGTTAGCCAGTTTGAGTTCCAGAAAACCTCTCACCAACAACGAGAGAATACCAAAGTGTCAGGAAGCAGACAGGAGCTCCCTGGACAAAGGAGCCAGTCTGCTAGGCAGAGAAGCCGCTAGTTAATAAACCACGCAAACACCAACGCGAGCACAACTTCCAAAAGAGCTCCCCAAACTACAAAGTCAGGTCCAAGCGAAATCCTGAAGAGCCGGGATTTTACCACACATCTGCCTACAGGTCTAGGATCCTTTTTGTGATATTATAGTTAAAGATGTTTCAACAGAGTGGCTGAAAGTTTTCTCAGATTTCATTTTCCAAAAAGTCTAATTACTATTCAGAGAATTTCCAAACCCGGCTTTTCTGAATGGAGCCACTCCCTGTCCAAGTGAAAAGCCATATCCAACATGAAGAATTCCAACCCTCCGGTAGCTTTACTCATTCGACTGTCTAAAGTAGCTACTGTTTTTGAGGATTCTTAACATTGCCTAGAAATACCCCCACAAATCTCATGATGGGCCATTGAGACAGAGACTCTCCCAAGAGGAGGGGACACCACTTCCCACCCCTCCTTAGGCTCATGTTGGAGGAAGCCATAGCACAAGGACAGGAAAGCTGGGGCTCTGACCTTCCAGCCAGGGCAGCCTAGGGGCTCAGGGAGGAAGCACATCTGTACCACGTTCTTCCACACAGAAGCTGGACACGGAGGCACCACAGCACCACCCTCAAGACAAGTGACTATCAGCAGACCAATGCGGGTCCCTGCCACAGTTCCTCAGCTCACAGAGGACAAACAGGGGAACCTTCACTCCTGACCCAGCCAAAGGAAGGTGGGATGTGTGGTGAGGTTCGGAAAGGTTTTTACCTCCACTCACTCTGCCTCCAACTCTCTTGCTGCTTTGGAGACACCAAGAGCTGAGGTGGAGCACCCTACTGACTCTGATCTTCTGCCTCTGCTTTTTTGCCTCTGGGTCTGGAAGAGCCACCCTGAACTGATCACTTGGGTAACCAGGCTAGTCCTCCACCTAGCAATGCCCTCAGGAAATGTGCTGAAAGCACTATGGCCTACATAAAATGACACCCAGGTAAACTTGGAACCTGTTGCGTCAGGAGCCAGGTTGCTTGGCCATAATTCCATTCTACCCCATCATCACGCGCCCCCCTCAGCGCCATACCTCCAAGGGAGATGGTCACCCTGGTGCAAAAAAAGAATAACTCAGGCCCGTAACCAGGGACAACGAGGGGGAACTCACACTCTCCACAGGACTATGGACCAGTGGCCACTGTCTGGCCCCAGGACACTATCCCAAATGTAGGGGAAAGGAGGTAGTCAGGCCTCCTCAAGTCCCGTCCTGCATCTTGGGTTGCCTCTCTTGGCTCTCTAAATCCAGCCCACAATGATGGAGAATGGCTATCATTCCCCAAGGAGAAATCAATGAAGCCAAGGTCCACAAATGAACAGTCTGGACACTGATTCCTCTCGAGCAGGCAGGAGGAGGGAAGTTCGGGGAGGAAGCTTTGCTCAGAGAGCCGCCTGCCAGGTAGAGTAGGAAATGAATTGTGAACCAACGAGAACAAGCGTAGGGGGTGATCAGCATCATAACCACACAGAAGGAAACAGGCATTAAAGAACATCTACTCCGTGCCCTGAACCCTCATAGGTATTTTCTCACTTAATTATCACCTGTGGTATTAGCGCTAACTCATAGAAGAGGAAATAGGCTCAGTGAAGTCAAGTGACTTCCCGAAAGTGAGTAGGTGGCAGAGCTGGTATTCTTCAAATCTAAGCTTTCTGACTCTGAACTGAAAGCCTAGAAACTAAATCCTAAACAACTTCCTTCCCACTGCCTCAGTTTCTCTGCCTGCAAAAATGAGGGAAGGGAATAGGGAAAGAAGACAAAGGATAAGAATGGAGGAGTGACAACAGTACTTTCTAGATCTGAACTATTAGACTGTAGTTTATATAAGAATCAAGTTCAGAAAATGACTCACTTCTTAAAACCAGCTGCTGAAACATTCCGGGCGTACTAGTGCTCCACCTGCCTGAAGCCATCACCCTAGCCCTTCCTGCAGGATAAGTTTCAGTGAAGATCTATAAGCAGGGTCAATGGGGAGGAAGGGGTTAAAAGCAAGAAGACTCTGGGGAGAATTGTCCAAGGAGGAGACAAAAAGCCTGGCTCTTCGTACTGGAAAATTTGGGAAAATCAGTTCTTTGTTCTAGAAAGGGCTCACTGGCCAGCCTCCTGCTCTTGCAAGTAAGAAGTGAAGTAGTCGGTAACTGGCAGGAGGGGAGGGGTGCAGGGAACTTGGGAGCCAATGCGGAGTCAGGTGCAAGACAGAGGAGACTCTCATGAAGCTCTCTTCCAGTTTTCCTTCTCCCAAGCTTGCGTGGCTCTGGCCAAAAGTATAGCACCTTGTCTAAAACTGACCTGTGCCATCAAAGAGGCAGGTCTGAACTGGGAGAACTGATGGCAACCAGCCAAAAGCAGGGCCAAGCCAGGCGCGGTGGCTTACGCCTGTAGTCCCAGCACTTTGGGAGGCTGAGGTGAGTGGATCACCTGAGGTCAGGAGTTTGAGAACAGCCTGGCCAACATGGTGAACCAGTCTCCACTAAAAATACAAAAATTAGCTGGGTGTGGTGGTGGGCACCTATAATCCCAGCTATTCGGAGGCCGAGGCAGAAGAATCGCTTGAACTGGAAGGCAGGGGTTGCAATGAACCAAGATCATGGCACTTCACTCCAGCCTGGGCGAAAGAGCAAAACTCTGCCTCAAAAAAAAAAAAAAAAAAAAAAATGCAGGGCCAGATCTTGGGATAAGGGCCTCCTCCTCCTTCTGTTCAGGACCAAGTTAGAAGGGTCCCCAGGAAGACTGTATCCTAGTCCTGTGCCAGGGAGGGCTCCCAGCCTATTCCCAAGCCTATAGGGGCTCACCAGTGGCTAGGGGAAGGTTCTGGGGAATAACTGGTGAGAGAGATCAGATAACTGCAAATGAAGCAAGCTGCCTTCCACATAGGCCTCTAGATGAGTCTAGGAGAGTCACAGTCACTGTGTCCTCCAATCCTCTCCAGTACCGGGACTGGAAGCTGTGAGCTGCGCTCAGCCATAGGCCTGTACAACCAGGATGGAGTGAATGGGCAGGAAGGAGGCCAAGAAACTGAAAACAAGAATCAGAGTGAGTCCACACATGGACTGAAGGGGAAACTCTAAGCCAAGTTTCCACCAAATAATCAAAGGAGGGAGTAAGAACTGGAGCTTAAGTCTATTATCTAAACATAGGGCCACCCTCCCTTCCTGATCACTAAGAGACTAGGAGGACTTACCAGGACCAGGTCTAGCCCCAAACTGTCCTCAGAATTCCTTGGCAGAGGGCACTAACCATATCTAACCGGCAATGGCCTGTTCTTAGGAAATCCAAGGTCAATTCCTCTTCCCCTGCCACTGGCAATGGTTTGACCCTTAAGTCAACCTACCTATTACCAATAGCTCTCCTCCGACCCCCTGAAGTTACCCATCTAACCTCGGAGTCTGCCCAGTCATGGTCAAGCTATTTATTCCCTTGATTTCCTGACAGACACACATATACACATACAGAGCCAGCGGGGCCAGGGACACAGTCCCAGAAGTACAGAATGTGTTCACTTCCAAGTGGCATGCCTGTGCTTCCGCGGTGGCTGTACCAGCATGGATGCAGCCTCAGGCTCCTCTCCCTGCCTTGGCAGCCATCCAGAAAGCCAGCCTGGAGAGGAAGGGTTAAGTGCCTGGGGGCCCAGCCCAGACAGCCGCTGCTGGAACAGAGCAGCCTCCAGTCCGTGGCACAGAGGGCTCCTCCAGCACGAGCCTGCCAGCCGCCGCCTTTGTTGATGGACTCTGCCACATGCTCGGCTGACACGCGATGCTCCGCCCTGGCGGGGCTGGTGCCAGGCTGCCGGCCAAGCACCCGGCCAAGCGCCCGGCTGGCCGCCGGTCTGGGGAGCCTCTCCGAGGTACACTCTCCCGAGTCCCAGACCCTGGTTCCCAGACAGACACAGTGAGGAGCGGCCTCCCCAGCTGGAAAGTGTCAGGTTTCAACCGGTTCCACCACTTTCCCCCATTCAGGCCCCATCCCTTGGCCTGGTTACCCGTTTCCCACTGTACCTTAGCCAGGCACCCCCCAACTGCCCAGTGTCACTGCAGCACCCTGAAAATCTTCCTCTTATGTCTGTGAGGGGCAGTCCCCCGGCCACCACCATAAGAAGAGACAGGCTATTAAGCAGGGCTGCAGAAAACCACCCTATTCCAGGGGAGGGATTATAGCATCTCCCGAGACGGCCCTTATGGAACATGAGTTGAGAGTGGGCAGTTAACCAATGCAGAGCTCCGAGATGAGGGCAAGATGCTCATCCAGTTGGGCCTGTCCTGCCCATGGGAACCGCAATAACCAAAACTCTGGGACCACATTCTTGCGGTCTGGTAGAGACAGAGTTGCTGACAAGAGGAAAGAGGCAGGCCCTGGCCCCCAAGCCCCACAGACTCAACCCTCCTCCCCTAAACCCCCGTGCCTACTTGCTGCACATGAAGCTGGTGGAACTGGTCTGCAATGCACTGAAGCTTTCGGGCAATCTGTACCTCTGCTCGATGTTGCCACTGCCCTTCGGGGGGCTGTTCCCCAAGGGGCAAGACTGCCGGGAAACTGGCAGGGAGAGGAAGCCGGTAGCCAGCATTGCCTGCAAAGATAGAGGAGCCACATCTCAGCATTCTCCACAACTGCCCCAGCCTCCCCGCACCTGCCCGACCTGGCCAAGATTGAGGCTGAGAGTAAATCCTCCTATGAGAATGGATAGGAACCAGCCTGCCTGTATCAGGGCACTCTGCCAAGCTTGGACAGGCTGCTGCCCAAGTGCATAAAGGTTGCAGAACAGAACGGAGAACAGGGAGAGTGGCCCAAGCCTTCCCTCCAGTTCTCCATTCACTGACAGTGCCATGACAAAGGGGAGGGTGGTAATGTGTGCAGGCAAACATGCCAACCTTCCATCCTTATGTATCACGCTTACTTGACCACAGTTGATTATTCATGTAGTAACAGGTTGAAGTTCTTCTCCGGAAAAGCACTGGAGGTAGCTCTCCAGAGTTTCTGAGTTGAGCAAAGTAAAGGGCAGAAAAAAAACCAAAAAGTGTCTTCACGTTTTTAGTGCAGTAGAGGAATGCTGGTCTCCCGAAGCTCCTGGGCAGCAGCATAAAAACGAGGGAGAGAAAACTCCTGAGACGCACAGAGCTGCCAAGTTCCTCTCTGGAGACAGCCCCAGGCAAGACCTCTAGACGAGCGCTCCACACTTACCGAGTGCACGCGTTAGAGCCACCGCTAGGGGCGCCAGTCCGCCGGCCTCCTCGCTCCTTTCCCTCTTCCCCGCCTGTCCGCCTCATCCAGCTTCTCCTACTCCCGACAGAACTGCTTTGCCAGAGCTGCCCTAAGAGGCAGTTCCCTCTGAGAGTAAATGCAGTGTCTCCGCAATCTGCTCATCAGACACAGCAAGCCACCCTCCTAGCCTTTACCCTCCCTCCGTAAGCTGCAGTGCCACTAGAAGAAAACAGACTGTCTGATCATGCCGTTTTGCCAGAGGAGGGCCTATTTCTCATAAAACAAACTATTTAAGCCCACAAATGAAGAGGTCTTGTCTGATTTAGCCTTGGAAGCATCCCCTCTCTTGGCACTGGGCCCAGGCAGCCCCAAACTCTTTCTCCAGTTCCCCTTCCACGCACAGAAAGTCCCAAGTGACAACTGGGAGCCACCTTCTGCCTTCGGTAACCCTCCCTGCCAGAACCAGCTGGGTTTTTCCCTTCATTGTCAACAGCCAGTCACAGATCCCCCAGCCTTCTCCAGAGCAACAGGAGCCACTTTACAGAAGGCAAATCACTGCTGGGGCACTAAAGGCCGGGCCACACAAGGGGCACAGGATGTAAATGGAGATACCATGGACTCAAGGATCCCTCCAGGAGGGGACTATGGATCAGAAAGAAGGGCAGAGCAGTTTGCCCTTTGGGGTCCTGAGGCGCACAGGTGAGGAACAATAACAAGCCGAGAGAAAGCAGGTGGAAGTCAAGGAATCGACAGCCCCACTGACCACTTTGGGGGAAGGAAACAGCAAAGGGCAGCTTTGGAGAGGGAAGGTCCCTTCTTTTCCCCCAATTTCTATGGAAGGAGTCTTGAGGCTGACAGCACTCACCATAAAAGAGTCGCTGGGGTTCCTCAGTCACCCCACAAGGCAGCATGACACCTTGGCTGGGGGAGGCTGGGCTGAGGGTCTGGGTAGCCTTGTCTTCCTGGCTGGTGGGTCGAAGGCCAGGGCCACAGCAGTGGGTGAGAGGGAAGAGCTGAAGCCGGCTGAGGGGACAGTCCAGTAGGCTCTGGGCAAACAGGTCAGCAGAGAGCAAGCTCCCGGGTTGGGTCCCTGGCTCCCCATCCTCTGGCTGGAACACATCATCCTCCAGCTCCTCCACACACTGAGATGGCTCCATCTCCCCTGTAAGAGGGCAACACAGGCATCTGGGATGCTGCCCCACCAGGGCCACATGGCGAAGGACTCCACTTCCCTTCTTTCTTCCCTGTTCCCCCTTTTTATTTGAGGGGACTGGGCCACATACTGATGACATACAACCCTGGTAATAAAGCACTGCCAAGGGTGACACCCACTTCCAAAATTTGGACTGCCTCAATGTTCAGGGGCCCTCCACAGCTCTTCCCTGGGCCTGCCTGGAACCACCCTTTTTCCTGAACCTGTTTTCTGACCTAGGCCAGTCACAAAGTTTGACTCTGAGGGTTGTGAGCAATAACAGGAGTAGAATCAGCAGCTATATGCATGCAGGGTACCTGGGAAAATATAAACAAGACTAGCCTCTGTAAGTTGCTGTCAAGGGTGCTGTGACTGGCTATATATACAGTGCTCACAACACACACAAACACAAACAAACACAAAGTCATTGCCCCAAGGAAACTCTTATCTCAGTCTGAGCTTAGCTCCAGACTCAGCAGCAGAAACAAAAGCCTGCAGTCCTAGGGCAGCCAGGTTCCCTCCAAACCTCTAAGCCCCGCCCTGCTGCCCATCTACTCTAATCTCCACCCCTTGCTTGCACAACACAACAAACAGGCTCTGCAGTGTGGTAAGAGTGTGTCCTGAGAGAAGGGATAAAGACCCAAGTTAGTCATCGCAGCTGCCGTCTGGGCTCTCTTTGAGCAGAGTTGAGCTGTCTGCCCACCAAAGGTTGGCCTGGAAGGTAGGTCCAGCCTCTCCCAACTAAGTCTCCTCACTAGTCTCCAAGACTTCAAATCCTTGTTTCCACAGCCTCCCACTCCTGCCAGCTCACCTGAGATTGGTGTAATTGGTCTGACAGAAGGAAGTGAAATTCACCCCTCTCCCTGTGATCTCACTGCCTCTACTACTCAGGTTATTGATGAGAGTTTCTTGGTAATAAAGAAGTTCCTCTTACTCCACCTGATGGCTCTTGGAAGTCTGAGCTTGGAGCCACCCAGCATCTTAAGCTTCCAACCCAGCTCCCTGCACACACCAGGAACCCCTTAAGACCCCTGCAGCAGTCAGAAGCAGCAACCACCTGAAGAGCTAAGGATAAAAAGAGATGAATTTCATCTTTGTCAGACTCAATTAGAGATTCCTGGGGGTTCTGTCCCCCAGTCTCTTGCCTTTGAAGAACAAGCCAAATGGTCTGTGAGTTGGTGAAGTTGCTAAAATAGTTTCAGTTCAATTCAGAACCCTGCCTTTGCCAAATGCAAGCTCTCTGTGAGATGCTTGCATGGGGCCTCGCTTCATCCCATCCCATCCCATCCCTGTCCCTGAGCTGTCTATGGTCCTGTCTCTACCCTCTTCCCTGGAGAGTGAGGATATGCCTGCTAGCATGGCAAGCAACCATGTGGTGTTCTTTGGACCGTGTTTCCCAAGTGGGGTGTGTGTGTGTGTGTGTGTGTGTGTGTGTGTGTGTCTGTGTATGGGGGGGTGCACTCCAGCTTATTAGCAACAGGAAACAGCATTTCCTGATGAAAGGACCAAGTGCTGTCCTGCCAGTCACCTGGCAGGGGCTCCCCTCCAGCCCTCCAATCTCTTCTTAGAAGGGGCCCTCAAAGCCAATCGCAAGCACAAGTCATTGTCTAGGTTTTTCCTTTGAAGCCTATCACCTTCCCCTCCCCCTCCCAGCAAAGCCTCAAAGTTCAACGCTTGCAAGGACTGGACAGTGGGGTAAGTGCAGCCAGAAGGTGTAGCTCTGCAAGCCCCAGGGACCCCCTCACTCTCCACAAACTGCAGGTAGCTTGCCTGCAGGTAGATGGACGCCTCTGGAGGGGTGCTTGGCAAGGTCAAGGGTAAACTAAGAAAAGGTGAAGAATCCTTTCCTTCCTTTTCTCCCGAGCTTAAGAGGTGATATCCAGAGTGGTGGGAGGAGGGCACTTCCTGAGAACAGTGCCAGGGAATGCTTTATTCCTAGCAGAGGAACTAAAGCCCTGCTGCAGCCATCCCAGCCCCTAAGGGCTCGAAGAGGGATGCTGAACTTAGACTCCTCCTCCTCTTAGGAGAATGCAGTAGCCAGACACCCTGAGCTTCGACAGTGGCTAGGAACACACACGCACACACCCACCCCAGACCTGGGTGACTCCACACACACACACACACACACACACACCCCAGACCTGGGTGACTCCAGGATAGGGTCTCGGCCTCCGAGTCGTGATGCCAGGGCTCAGCGCCAGGGTCCAGCGTGACGAGCACTCGGGGGCTTGATGCCCAGACTCGATTGGGAAGGAGGGAAAAAGCCCAGCTGTTAAGGAGAGGAGCCTTCAGACTCCGCAGGGAGGCAAGATGCCCCACAACTCCTGTCCTACCCCAAAGTCAGACCCAGAGGCTGGGCCGCTCTCGGGCACCCAGGTCTGCCTAGCAGTGCACCCAGTTTCCCCCGCCCACCTGGACCCAACTCCTTCGAGTCCCAAATGCTACCCCCAAGTTCCCTCTTGGAGCGGTACACCCAGCTATGGGTTCTGCACCTCGTTCCCTCACCCCAGCGCCCCAGTTCTTCATGGTCACCCCAGACGTCCGCAGCCCAAACCCTTCCAAGGCCCCTATGCGCAGCGCGACTCCGCTCCCCACTTCCCCAAGGAGCTGCGATCCAACTCCGCCCGGCCCCCGGCCGCCACCCGGGCGCTCACCGGGCTGCGGCGGGAGGCGGGAGGCGCAGGCAAGGGCGGCAGCGGCGGCGGCGGCGGCCGTGGGCCTGGGCGGGAGGAGGCCACTCCGCACGGTGCGGTATTGTTTCCAAAATACGCCCGCTCGGGGCATCCCGCAAACAGCTGATGAGGCCCCGCCCCCCGCACGTCACGCCGAGGACTGGCCAATGGCGAGTGAAGCGCCAAGTCCCGGGCTGGGCAGCTGCCAGGGACGGTCACGAATGTACGAACCTTCCCATGGAAACATTGCAAGGGGCCGAGCAAAATTCCGATCCTCACCAGAAGCGCAGTTGGAGCGCCGTCTCCCGCACGGATTCTGTCCCTAACACAGGCTCTGGAAGTGCCAGAGAGTCCCTGAATCCTATCAGGTGTGGGAGAGGGGGCGCCAAAGTAACTTTTGTCTTCTTTTTCACGGGAATGGACAGAATAATTGCTGCGCGATCAGAAAAGGTGGGGGGAAGGAGACAGGGAGTTTTTTTTATGAGGCTGGTGCGTCCAGTGGGGGCAGGGTGCAGGGTGCGGGTCCCTATGGGATCCCAGCCTCAGGGGAAAGCTCCCTCCAGCCTGCCGAGCAGGTCTGAAGAAAACTGCAGCCCCAAAGCTGAAGCTGTGTTTGAAACAAACACATCCAGAGGAGCCCTCAGGTCGTCTTCTTGCCTGGGCGTGGGCACTGGCAAAATAAACATCTGGATGAGAAGAGGAGCGCCCAAGAAGGCATGGGCTGCTTGAGCGGTTGATACATATCTCGCTATGGCAGCATTTAGAGACAATGCTAGTGCTCCCAGAAGAGCTGCGTGTCCTGCAGACCGCACAAGGGAGTCTATGGACTACTTCACAAACATTTACTGAGCACCTACTCTGTGCCAGATACTGGGCTAAGTGCGAGAAACCTGGAGTCTGTCCTCAAGGAGCTTACAGTCTTCTAGGAGAGGTAGCCCTGAAAATAGTGAAAAGCCATAGGGATTGTGTTCATTCCAAGGATAATGACTCTTGAGAATGCAGAAAAATTCAGAATATAAAGGCTGGGGAAGGCTTCAGGAAGATGGCTTTTAAATTGAATGGGAAATATTTTTCAATAAGGAAAACCAGATGCAAATGGCTCACGCCTGTAATCCCAGCACTTTGAGAGGCTGGGGCGGGCTGATCACTTGAACTCAGCAGTTGGAGACCAGCCTAGCCAACACAGCAAAACCCTGTCTCTACTAAAAATACAAAAATTAGCCAGGCTTGGTGGTGCATGCCTGTAACCCCAGCTACTTGGGAGGCTGAGGCAGGAGAACTGCTTGAACCCGGGAGATGAAGGTTGCAGTGGGCCAAGATGGCTCCACGGCACTCCACCCTAGGCGACAGAGTCTTCAAAATAAATAAATAAATAAATAAATAAATAAAATAAAATAAAATAAATAAATAAAAAATCGCAGGCCTAAGGGTAGCAGACTAAAGTGCTGAGCTGGAGAGCTTACCTGTGCAGGGATCAGAGGGAGGCTTGGTGACTGGATCATTGGGTGCACACTGAGATTTAGGAAGGGTAAATGGCAAGTGAAGCAGGCAGGTGGGTTCAGGTCAGATTACAGAGGTGTTCCTGGAATGTCAGACTGAAGAATCTGTATTTTATAAAGGGGAGGTGCCAAAGATTTTATTGGAGATGAGTGACTTGACCAATCTTGAATTTTAGGAAAGAAAAAATGATGAGTCCAGAAAGCAGCGAGAGGGAGCCAGCCTGCAGCAACTATGACCCACCAGGGGCAGCAGAGCTCAGTGGTGCTTTAACCACAAAGCTGCTCTCTGGGTTGTAAACTCAGATTTAAGTTCAGTGGAGCTGAGACCTTCAGCCCAATAGAGCTTGAAGTCTCCTTGTACTTTTTCTCATCCATTCTTTCCCTAGCTCCCTCAAAAGAGAATGAACCAGCCATATTGAAGGCTGTGGTTTCTAGAATAGAAACATGCTGTCTCCAAGAGACAGAGAAGAGGGAAAAGGGAAAGAGGGGAGAGTCAAGGTTGGCCAGTAACGTAGTCTCTCCCCCCGCCCCAGAAATTGACAGATGTCCAGCAAAAGACGCTAAGCCAAAAGGAGGTATATTATTTTACCTGGAGGCTTGGCCAAAAGGGTGTGTCTGAGCTAGTCAGAGTGACCTTGCACTCCTGCTACATGTAGGGAGATGAGGAAACCAAACCCAGCCTCTGTGAAAGGCACTGGGAGTCTTCCGCGGTTTCCAATGTAGGGACTTCCTTCCTCTCCTTCCCTCCATGCTTCTTTTCTCATTTGTTTTCCTATCAGGCCAGTGTCTCAGGCTCGTGCCCCTGGGCATTCCTTAGGGTCAAGAGTGGAACTGAGGGACAAAGCAGCTCTGAATCTGCCCTCTGGGACAGCATAGGCCCTGAGGGGTGGGGCCATTGTAGCTCTCCTGACCTACCTGAGATGCTAAATCTCTGTATGCTTCATCACAGCCCTGCATGGTAAAATTGGCTACACAAGGCAAAGAAGCTGAGAGAATGCATTCTTTTTGTTTTGAGACAGGGTCTTGCTCTGTTGCCCAGGCTGCAGTACGGTGGTGCAATCACAGCTTTCTGCAGTCTCAATCTCCCAGGCTCAAGTGATCCTCCCACCTCAGCCTCCCAAGTATCTGGGACTGCAGGTGTGCACCACCACACCCAGCTAAGATTTTTAATTTTTATTTTTGTAGAGACAGCATCTCACTATGTTACCCAGGCTGGTCTTGAACTCCTGGCCTCAAGCACTCTTCCTACCTCGTCCTCCTAAAGTGCTATGATTATAGGCATGAGCCACTGCACCTAGCCAAGAATGGGATACTGACATGGAATCCATGTACTCACCAGGCTCATCAGGGTCCTGAGCTTTAGGGTCTATGAACCCCTGAAACTGGCTAAACTGTGTTTGGGGGTACATAAACATTTCTGTGGGTGGGGTGGCTCCATAACTTACAACAGTTTCATAAAATGGCCTGTGGTCCTATAAAGGTTTCAGAACATCATCATTGTGACAGAATGGGGCTGAGGAGCAGGAGGGAGTATCTCAGTGGGTCTGGCAGTTTGCAAGATATGGGGACGGTCACACCACTAGTGATATTTAAGACCTCTCTCCCAGGTCTTCACAGCCTGCTCCCTCAGGCTGGTTCTGAAAGACACCTGTGGCTTTACCTCCTGCTCTCTCAGTCTATAAGGTCAAGCAGCAAGGGGCCCAGCCTTCTGAGCCAGAGGGACCAGAAAAGGACTGTCAGGGATAAAGGGGTCAGGGAGGTCAGGAGCCTCACCCCCACCTCTCATCACTGTCAAAGCAGACCCCTCCCTCTATGCCCTTTCTCCCCTTTCAGCACAGCATGGACTCAGCAGTATCAGGACCTGCTGCACTGCAGATCTGAGCTCTGAGCCCCTTGACCAATAGCAGCACCCTGGGAACAGATGAACCCTGAGCTTTTGGCTGGGCTCGGAGCAAATACACAGTGCAGCCACAGCAAGCTCTGTTTTGGAGAATTTCCTTTCCCTCATTCTCTTCCTGCCCCTTGCCTCAATTTGTTTTCTCCTCTGCTAACTGAGGCTGGCTCTGGAAGAAGGGTCCCCAGAGAAAGACATCAGCACGGAGGCTGACAGGGAGAAGGGCCTTCCCTGACAATCTTGGAGGGATATAAAGAGTTAAGGGGAGGCTGCTCTCAACCAGAGGGAAAACCCAGCTCCTGTCGAAAGAAAGCCGGCAGGAGCCCTCTCCATTGTCTCACCTGGCTATAGGATTTCTCTCTGAGACAAGAAATGGGCTCTAAAACTCCAGTAACTGGATCACTGGAAAGAGCGGTTTTTAAAAAACCAACTGACAGCTGAATAATAGGAATTACCAGGCAGGCTGCCCTGGGGTTACTGAGGTTTGTAACTCAACCCCCAGGGAGGGGTTAGATTGGAAACTGATTTATGGGTAAGGTTGGGGTCTTGTGGGAGGAGCCCATGGTGCCTGACCCCCTTAACTACTTCCAGAAGAGCTCATATATGTAAGAAAGACCAGGGATCTGTAAGACTTGGGTGTCCTTCCCTTGCTGGACTTGCCCTATCACAGGGAATTTATCTCTGTCATCCATCTGTCTGCAAAGGATAGTTCCTCTCTTCTGAGTTGCAGTGTGTTTGTGAGAGAGAGACAGAGAGAGAATATGCCAGAACAGACAGATTGACTTCTACTAACTGGGCAAGTGAAGAAACTTGATTGCTTATTCAGTGAGCTCACTACTTGCCAATCACTGATTCAGAGGGATTTGAATAGAAAAAGCAGGTACTCTACTAAAGAGACAGCATCTGGGAATTCAGAGACCTGGATGTAAAGGGAAATATAGAAACTAAGGACTAAAGCTGGCATGCTAAAGTCCAGGGAAACCTGGAAGATAAGATGTGAAGTCCAAGATCCCATGAAGTGTGACAACTGCATGTGTTCAGTTTTGTTTGGGGGACTACTTGGTAAATGTTTGTTGAATGAGTAAGTGAATGTATATTTCCATGTTTAAAAAGTACAAGTAGTTCTGTATTAAGCAGTGGGAAGAAAGCTACAGTGGGGGATTCCCGAGAAATGTCCTATACGCACTGGGTTTACCATTTGGGATGCCTGGTCTTCGTTTTTTTTTCTTCTTCTTCTTCTTTTAAAAAATTATTTAAGGCCGGGAGTGGTGGCTCATACCTGTAATCCCAGCACTTTGGGAAGCCAAGGCGGGTGGATCACCTGAGATCAGGAATTCGAGACCAGCCTGGCCAACGTGGTAAAACCCCGTCTCTACTAAAAATACAAAAATCAGCTGGGCTTGGTGGTAGGGGCCTGTAATCCTAGCTATTTGAGAGGCTGAGGCAGCAGAATCGCTTGAACCTGGGAGGGGGAGTTTGCAGTGAGCCGAGATCGTGTCATTGCACTCCAGCATGGGCAACAAGAGCGAAACTCCATCTCAAAAAAAAAAGTTTTTAATAAATAGAGATAGGGGTCCCCTTATGTTGTTCAGGCTGATTTCAAACTCCTGACCTCAAGCGATCCTCCCACCTCAGCCTCCTGAGTAGCTGGGATTACAGGTGCAAACCACTGCACCCAGCTTATCTGAGTTTCTTCTCACAAGTGGAGACAATCCTCCTAGAAGACAAGAGTGATGCCATCTACTCCTTGATATACTCCGGCCGCTCTGCTCCAGGCTTGGCACATCACTCACTCACTAAGTCTTCAGAGACAAATTTCAGAAAAACTATGAGCCAGGCCCTCAGGGCAGTATCCTCAGCTGCCCTCTCTCCAACCCAATGTGCAGCCCATGGAAAAGAAGCTGGCTTTATCCTGCCAAAGAATGAAGAAGCCCAGTCAAAATATGCTTTCTTTCACTCTGCTTCCCCCAGGATGGCAGCCTTTCTCCTGGTCAAGTGTACATCAATACAACAGTACATACCTTTTTATGGGATTGGCAGGGAAATCTGAGAAATTTCTAGCTGAGGCCAGATTGATTGCTATCAAGGAAAACTGCCACCCAGAAGAGCTGGGGACCAGTCCCTTCCCGGCTGAAAGTGTCCCAGGTTTTGAACTTGGTGTTCAAGGGGATCTGGGCTGAGAAGTGAGTTAGATCAGCTGATTCTCGGCCAACTCCTGGCCTCCACAGTCCTGGAGGGGAACAGGGTCTCTGTCTGGAAGGGGCTTCATAAGGGACCGGCTCAATCACCCAGGTATGAGTTTATCAGACGTTTACCGAGTACTTGCCATGTGTTAGGCTCCACGCCAGCCCAGCGGCTGGAGGGACAGACACAATCCCTGCAGGGATCATTGAACACATCGGCACCCTTTTTTCTCAAACATGAACTTTCATATACACACCTATACACACGCTCAAAGAGGCACTGAGTTAGGGTATGGCAGGAAGAGCTGGAACTAGACAAGCTAAGGAAAAACAGCCTTCTCCCAGCCTCTTATCGCAATCCTGCCCAGGTCCTCAGGCTGTAATGAAAACAACTCTCACCTGTTCAGCATTTACTACATGCCAGACATGTTGTGTCAAACAGTGTCTCATTCAATCTTTAACAACTCCAAGATAAAGGTATTACCATCAGCCGTTTTAAGAAAACTAAGGTCACTTCTCCAAGTGCAGGCGCACAGCAACAGAAGCAAGATCTGAAGCCACCCTGGCGTTAAAGCCAGTGCTCACATCCCCTATCTCTACTGCCTGTAGACACACCCAGTCCCTCCCCACAGACAGGATTCACTCCCCTTCCCCCATCAATAACACATGGTCCCAGTGCCCCCTCAACAGGAAGGCCAAGACTGAGGCAGCCTAGCTAGGTACATTCCAGCTCTCTCAGTTGCAAACACTCACACCACCACCGCCAACACCACCTGCGGTAGAAGCTATTGCATCATCCGCAGGAAGCAGTCCAGCAGCCCAGCATCAGCTCTGAGGCACATTTTCAGTTCCTACTTCTATCCTTGACTACGTTCCGCAGGCTGCCCTGTCTTCCAGCCCCTGGCCTGGCCCTGTAGCTTTAGGCTAATGTGCATGACTGGACGCGATACTGCGGTCTGCTACTTAAATGAGATTTGTACCAGTCCTTTTTCTGAACACTGCCAGATGGGCAAAGGGGGTCCGGCTAGAGGAGGCTTCCCAGCTCAGGGCCATTTGGAGATCCTGTGGGCTCAGAGAAAAGTCCTCTCAAATGCAGGAGACAAGCAAGGGAAGGGAATCTCAGGTAGGTACCATAACCTCATCTCTACCTTTCAAGGACATGGGCCAGCGAGAGAGGAAGGCCCTCAAGAGCCTGCCAACAAAGCCAGGATGTCTCTGATGTCAGGTCTCAGCCCAATCAGACTGGCAGATATGCTACACTGGGCTTTGCTTTCCTCCCTCTACTATTATTTTTTTTTCTTGAGACAGGGTCTCACTTTGTCACCCAGGCTGGAGTGGCGGGATCTTGGCTCACTGTAACCTCAGCCTCCTAGGTTCAAGTGATCCTCCCGCCTCAGCCTCCCCAGTAGCTGGGATTACAGGCGTGACCTACCACGCCTTGCTAATTTTTGGTATTCTTTGTAGAGACAGGGTCTTGCCATATTGCCCAGGCTCGTCTCGAACTCCTGACCTCATGCGATCCGCCCGCCTCTGCCTCCAGGATTATAGGCATGAGCCACCGCACCTAGCCACTTTCCTTCCACTATTGCCATGGAATCTTCTAGAACTGAGGAGAAATCCGGGTAGTTTCTCTTCTGCCTGTCCTGGATGTTCTTTCCCTCTCTGCCAACTTCTGTATCCCTCCTCCCCACACAGCACTCTTTCTTTATCTCTTCATCTCTCTTCCTACCCTGGTTTCCTCCTGCATGCACCACCTCTCTCTGGCCTCACCTTGGGTCACAGCAACAGCAGGCTTTTATGAGCTTATAAAATCCTCGGCATTTTAGTGGAAGTCATCTTGCTTGGAGAGGCTGCTTCTTTTAATGTTATCATCCCCATTTGGAAATGATTCACTTGAGTCTGATTGACATTTTTAACAGCTCTGCAGGTGGGGTCATCGCTCTCTTTTCATATAGAGATCGACACTAAACCAGAGAGCAGCATGAGTTTCTCCCAGCTCTCAGATTACTCTTCAAATGCTGAACCTGACTGACTCCTTGGTAGGGGGTTAAGGCACCTGAATCAGTGATGTGAATAAATATCAAGTTGTTCTTAAGGCTTTAAGGTCACAACGCTGTACTAGACATAATGAACCCCAAAGAAACAAATGGGGACTCCAAGGACTCTGAATTCTTCCCCAAACTTAGACCAGGTTATGAGATCTTTTCCAGGTTTCATGGAATCTTTTTTTTTTTTAAGGCGAAGTTTCACTCTTGTTGCCCAGGCTGGAGTGCAATGGCACAATTTCGGCTCACGGCAACCTCTGCCTCCCAGATTCAAGCGATTCTCCTGCCTCAGCCTCCCAAGTAGCTGGGATTACAGGCATGTACCACCACGCCCAGCCAATTTTGTATCTTTAGTAGAGACAGAGTTTCACCATGTTGGTCAGGCTGGCTCAAACTCTTAGCCTCAAGTGACCCTTCCGCCTCAGCCTCCCAAAGTGCTGGGATTACAGGCATCAGCCACTGCACCTGGCCTCATTCCCCTTTATAACAGCCTGTAACACATCACAAACTTGCCTTAGTTCAATTTGATTTGACCTGACCTCAGGTGATCCACCCCCTCAGCCTCCCAAAGTGCTGGGATTACAGGCATGAGGTACTGCGCCCAGCCTCATGGAATCTCAAGTATCAACTGAGGTTATGTAAACTTGTGATAAAAAATAAAAATTAAACTCATTGGGCATGGTAGATAAATAAATTTAACTATCAAGATCAATCTTGGATTTCACAACTGGAGGAAAATATTAAAAATCCCCAGATGTTTCAGAGTAGAGTAATTTTTTGCCAATCTTGATCCCTTTCACAGTGAAGGTGTAAAATTTAAAAAACTGACCCCTGTATGAGCTCCTGGCATAGATTCTGATTGACCTGAGGGAGAAAATACTTTTCTAGTTTATATCACCACCAAGACAGGATCATAGACTATGACCTTTACTATGGTGTGGAGTTAAGTTCTCAGAGGTGAGAAGAAAAGAATCTTGATCTCAGCTGTGATCATGCCACTGCACTCCAGCCTGGGTGACAGAGCGAGGCTTCATCTCAAAAAAAAAAAAAAAAAAGAGCAGCAGCGGCGGCAGCCAGTGTAACAGGGTAAGAACAAAGCCTTGGAGTCAGACAAATGGGGTTTCAAATCTCAGCCTTGGCACTTCCTGGTGAGTAGACATGGTACGTAGTTCCTCAACAAAGCATTTTCTAAGTTTACTAGTTTCCTTTTCTGCAGTTAGTTTTTAATTAAATATTTATTGCTCAACTATTCCCTGTTGGTAGAGAGCTTCTCTATTCCATTTCTTTAGTACTTACAACAAAGTTTGTGCCATTTTCTTTGAAATGCGATTTTAAAAAAATAATTCAGTCTTATATTTTGGGGTTTCATTTGATCACGTTTTTCCCTTGGTGAAGGGGTCCCTTCCTCTTTCTACATATTCCCCATAGTTTTAACTGAAATAATTATTCCTTCCTCTCTGAAGAAAAGCTATTTCCTTTACATTAAATATTTATAGAGCACATACTATGTGCTGTTCTCATCAAACCACATTAGGAATTTTAGGCCACAAGGTATGAGACAGATCTCCTGCTTGCCTTTCCACTGGCCTGCCCCACCCCTCCTCCACTTCCATCATGCCCAGGGGCCACTGAAGAAGGAGCCAAGACTCCTTGGAGATTTAATTAGGTGGCTACAGATAACACAGTGAAATAACACTACGACTACAGTGAGATAATACTGTGACTCAGTTAAGAAGCCAGTGTTGGCAGGGCTCAGTGGCTCATGCCAGTAACGCCAACACTTTGAGAGGCTAAGGCAGGCAGATCACTTGAGGTCAGGAGTTAGTTCAAAACCAGCCTGGCCAACATGGTGAAACCCCGTCTCTACTGAAAATACAAAAATTATCCATGTATGGTGGTGCGTACCTATAATCCCAGCTACTCAGGAGGCTGAGGCAGGAGAATCGCTAAAACGTGGGATGTGGAGGATGAAGTGAGCCGAGATCATACCACTACATTCCAGCCTGGGTAACAGAGCCAGGCTTCATCTCAAAAAAAAAAAAAAAAAAAAAAGAAGAAGAAGAAGAAGAAGAGGAAGAAGCCAGTGTAACAGGGTAAGAACAAGACTTTGGAGTTTGGAGTCAGACAAATGGGGTTTCAAATCTCAGCCTTGGCACCTGCTGGTGATTTGGGAGTAGGAAATTAACCTCTCTGAATTTACTTGCATCACCTGTCAGATGGAGATAATTATAGCATCCTCATGTGTTTGTTGGGGAGAAATTTTAATAAACTATACAAAGCACCTATTAGAGTGCTTTAGTACAGAATAGATGCTCAATAAATGCTAGATACTACCATGTGTTCAGCACTGTGTGACAACTGTGAGATAGACAAAAAGCTGAACCAAGCATGGAGGAGTGTTCCTATAGTCCAAGCTACTCTGGAGCCTAAGACAGGAGGATCACCTGAGACCAGAAGGTTGAGGCTGCAATGAGCCAAGATTTTCCCACTGTGCTCCAGCCTGGGTATCAGAGTGAGACCCTGTCTCAAAAAACAAAATAAAATATAAAGTTGGAAGAAAAATGAAAAAAACCATTGGTTCTGTTTACAGAAGTTGTGTGTTCTAGTTGGGGAACCAAGCCTAGCACATATAAAATAACTGTAGCATGTTAAAAATAGCATATAAATTACCTTAAAAATCATATTCCAGGCCGGGCACGGTGGCTCAAGCCTGTAATCCCAGCACTTTGGGAGGCCGAGGCGGGTGGATCACGAGGTCAAGAGATCGAGACCATCCTGGTCAACATGGTGAAACCCCGTCTCTACCAAAAATACAAAAAATTAGCTGGGCATGGTGGTGCGTGCCTGTAATCCCAGCTACTCAGGAGGCTGAGGCAGGAGAATTGCCTGAACCCAGGAGGCGGAGGTTGCGGTGAGCCGAGATCGCGCCATTGTACTCCAGTCTGGGTAACATGAGTGAAACTCCGTCTCAAAAAAAAAAAAAAAAAAAAAATCATATTCCAGTCGGCCCTCTGTATCTGTAAGTTCTGCATCTGTGGTTTCAACCAACCTGAGTTCAAAAATATTCAGAAACAAAACAATTGCGTCTGTACTGAAGATGAATAGATGGGTTTTCTTGTCATTATTTTCTAAACAATGCAAGATAACAACTACTTACATAGCATTTACATCGTATTAGGTACGAGTAATCTAGAGATGACTTAAAGTACATGGGAGGATGCGCGTAAGTTAAATGCAAACATGACCTCATTTTATATAAGGGATTTGGGTATCTGTGGATATAGGTATCCACAGGAGGCCCTGGAACCAATTCTACAGATATTGAGAGCTGACTCTAACAGAATATAATGACTATAGAAATAAAATGCTTGACGCTAAAGTGCCTTACATACAGTAAGTACTCAATAAACGGTAGTACATAGTATTATTATAAACAATAAGATTTGTAGATTCTTTCTAGAACAGTAGTTTTCAAAATGTGATCCCTGGTTCAGCACTATCAGCATCACCTGGAACTTGTTAGAAATGCATACTATTGATCTCCCTCCCAGACCTACTGACTCAGAAACTCTGAGAGTGGGACCCAACAATCTGTGTTATCTGTCTGTCTATCTATCTATCTATCTAGAGACAAGGTCTTGCTCTGTTGCTCAGGCTGCAGTGCAGTGGTGCCATCACAGCTCACTGCAGCCTCAACCTCTTGGGCTCAAATGATCCTTCTGCCTCAGCCTCTCTAGTAACTGGGACCACAGGTGCACACTACCACACCCAGCTAATTTTTGAAATTTTTTTAGAGACAGGGTCTGGCCATGTTGCTCAGGCTGGTCTCAAACTCTTGGCCTCAAGCATTCCTCCTGCTGTGGCCTCCCAGAGTATTGGGATTACAAGCATGAGGCAGCATGCCCAGCCCAATCTGTGTTTTAATAAGCTCTCTGGGTGATTCAGAGGCAATAGTTCTCAATATTGACTGCACATTAGAATTACTGGTGAGTTTCTTTAAATCCTGATGCTGGCCAGACCTGGTGGCACATGCCTGTACTCCCAGAACTTTGGAAGGCCGAGGTGGGCAGATTACTTGAGGCCAGGAGTTTGAGACTAGCCTGGCCAACATGGTGAAACACTATCTCTACTAAAAATACAAAAATTAGCCAGGTGTGGTGGTGCGTGCCTGTAATCCCAGCTACTAGGGAGGCTGAGGCACAAGAATCACTTGAACCTGGGAAGCAAAAGTTGCAGTCAGCTTACATCACACCACTGTACTCCAGCCTGGGCAATAGAGCAAGACTCAGTCTCAAAAAAAAAAAAAAAAAAAAAAAAAAAATCCTGATGCCCATCCTTCACGTAGACTAACCAGAATTTCTAGGGATGAGTTCCAGGTGTTAGGATTTGTTAAAGCTCCCCTATGTTATTCAAATGTACATCTGGGATTTTTGGAATATATCTGTACATAGAGCTTTGAGTTTACAAGAAGAAGAGAAGACAACTGAATCTTTACAGTGGGTAAGTTTTCTAATGTAAATTATGGAAAGGACCCTAAAATACCCCTTTCCATCATTTCACTCTTACTCCCAAATCTGCCCTATAAAAAAGACAGGAAAAAGACAGAGCCCCTTCTGTAACCTGAGGTTGAGCAGAGGGTCATGGAATGATTCATCCTGCTTCCTTCCCTTACAAGGACTGCCATCCCCGGGAAAAGACCTGGAAAGCTTGAGCCCAATACTAATTTTTAATCACTCACTGCTATAAATTCCCTCTGGAAGACAAAGAGGCATCCGCCTTGCTGGTAAGGGGCTCTTGTGTCACCCAAATCCTTTAATTATTCATGGAACAAGGAAGATCCTTTATCAGCCCCAACCATGCAACCCAAGAGGCAGATCCAGTTGTCCCTAGATGCCACCTGTCTACCTGGCCACACCCTGTCCAACCTGGCTTATCTTTGGTGCCTCCGAAGTCCAGGATGATATTTCAGAAAGAGAACTTGGTATGGAGGTTAGCAGAATATGGAACAAAATGGAAGCCAGAATAACCTAGAGGTCATGTGCCATCCCGTTCAAGTGATTGTACAAGATGAGGTGTTGAAGCAGTGGGTGTTTACCCCCAGCCTTGCCTGTGATGAGAGAGAATAGTCACCGGACCCTCAGTTGTGCTTGCTGGTAAAGTTCCTTGGTACAGGCTGTTTTAGAAAAGTTGCTAGGAGTGAAAGAAAGGTGAGATTTGGAATCCTCAGGCAGATAGAAATCCTACTGTCCGTACCGTATAAGTTACTTAAACTTATAAGTCCCAGTTTCTTCATCTATTTATAAAAATTGGAGCTTCAACGAGATGACAAATGTTTAAGTCCTAATTATGGCGCCAACTACATAGCTGCTTAGGAAATGTTAGTTCCCCTTCCCTTTCCCAGAAAAGGGAAGGAGTGGCAGGAGTGTGATTGGTCAGCTGCCTGAGCCTCCTCAGTGACCCCCCAGAACCTCTAGTGAACCTGCCACTCAGTGTCACATCTTTCAGAGCTACAGCTAGTTAAAAACAGGATAAGATTTACATGTTAAATACTTCTCTGATAATTCCCCCACCAGGGCTACAGCAAATTTGTGGTTGAATCCACTTTTAGTTACTACCTACTTTTCCAGTGCCTAACTTAGAAACTCAAATAGCAGAAAATAAAATTTATTTTCATTTTAAAATTATTATTGTAAAATAAATCTGACAATCCTGTGACCTCTGTTTCTTCATAGGGAAGACAGCGTCTCACGGCTATACCCGTTCCTGGGAAGGCCTGGGGCTTTCTTCTAGGCTTCCTTTGTGGGTTTGGGTTCACATTTCTCCATTTCCTCACAGGATTGAGGGCTCAATTTCTAAAGAAGGGGAAGTAGAGGGAAAATGGGCTGTTGTCCTTACAAAGGAAATGGTCTCATCTTTTCAATGTCCCAGGCCCTCTGGAAAGCCCACAGAGACCCCACATTCCCTGCCTGGGAATCTGAATAAAAATAACATCAGGCCTCTTGGAATAGCCACAGATGTTGTTCTCATTTTCATACATTTAGAAGCAAACATAAACATTGAATTAATTCTGGCACCCACTAGTGACTGCAGTCAACCCCAATGTTACAGTCTGGCCTGTGGGCAGCAGATGGCAGGAATGTAGCATAGGGACAGGGCCCCAGGACAGGACAGTAGTTACAGACCGCAGGGCTGGGCAGAGCAGGGCCCCAGGACAGGACAGCACTGCAGACCACGGGGCAGGGCAGGGCCCCAGGACGGGACAGTAGCTGTAGCCCAGATGCAGTTACTGTTCTGGGACCTTCCTGAAGTAAGGGGCAGAGGCCCAGTGCCTCAGAGACCAAATGCCTCTGAACTCTTTCCCCTCTCAATTCCTGCGCCTTCCTCTAACCAGGGGAGGTCATGGCTCATTGACACGGCCTGAGCCCCAGAGAATCTTCAGAGAGCTGCCCAGACTGGGAAAAAGAGGCTGGACACATACATCTTCAGCAATACCCAAACCCCCGCAAACACACACACCAAGAGAATCCCCACAGCAGGAACATGCCAACAGCATTGAGCCTTGTAAGGCAATCTCTAAGAGGACAGGAAGAGGGATAGATTTGGGAGTGTGGGGAAACTTGGCCCCGATTCATTACACCTGCCTTTAAAGTGCACCATCAATGTTGCATGCTGTTTTCTTCCCATGTCTGCAGAGCCCTTTGTTCTCTGGCCATTGCTGAGCAGCCTGACTCCCAGACAAGGCCAGACAGATTGTTGTAAAGTTTGGATTTCCACTGGCTCTCTCCATCTAATGAGCTGTCACTCAGAACTCTGCCTCAGAAGCCAGGCAGTGCCTGAAAGAAGTTGGAGGGGACGGTAGGTGTGACAGGACCCACAGCTGGGCCTGAGCCTCGCTGGGCTAGCAGGAAGTCTGGAGTGCCCTACACTCCAGCCCCAAATTCCACTCTGAAGGACCAACTTAGCCTTTGAGTCACCTGGTCTCCCGAGGGCAGAGCCTAACTGTGGGCAAGGCCTCTGGATCGTGCATGCCCCTCAGGCCAGAGCCACCACTTGGCATTGCTCACCTTCTCTCTTCACAGGACTGTCCTCTGGAATGGCTTGAGATGGAGCCCCAAACCCCTGGGCCCCCACAGCCTATGCTGGGTCCTGCAGATCTCACAACTGGAATCCTTTCTTTGAAGTATCCAGAAGGCCTTCTTAAGATGCAGCTGTAGGCTGGGCATGATGGGACATGCCTGTAATTCTAGCACTTGGAGAGATTGAGGTAGTAGGATCACTTGAGCCCAGGAGTTTGAGACCAACCTGGGCAACATAGTGAGACCCGTCTCCATCAAAAAAAAGTTAAAAAAAAAAGATGAAGCTTTTGCTCGAAAACAGCTTTGGAGAAAGAGGCTGTGGCCTCCTCTAGGAGGAGCTCCAGCTTCTCTGGGGTAATGTGTAACCACAAGGGGTTTCTTCCTGTGACCAAAGCCATGGACCAAAACCTGCCCCTGTTACTTCCCTCCATTCCCCTCTCTCAGGAGAGGGGCTTCACACAGTGCATGTTTGGTGACCGTCATGGGACAAACTGCAGTGTATCTCATCAGTGATTAAGTAAAATCATTCATGGGGCATGCACAGGTGAAAGGCCACGTGAGGATACAGTGAGAAGGCAGCTCTCTACAAGCCACAGAGCAAAGCCTCAGGAGAAACCAAACCTCCTGACCCCCGACCTTGTTTCAGGCTCCAGAATGGGAAAAAATTAATTTCTGTTGTTTAAGCCACCTAGTCTGTGCTATTTTGTAATGGCAGCCCTAGCAAACTAATACACCTTTGTTTTGTGGATGATAGTAATAGAATTTAACTCTTGGATTTGTTGTGAGGTTTGAATGGGTTAAGCAATGTAGGAACATAGTGCAGTTCCTAGGACAGAGTAAACACTCAGTGAAAGTTAGCTATTATTATGCAAAACCATACCAATGGGATTTATCACGTCCTTAACTTTCTCATACAACAAAAAGTAATGAATAAACCTAGCTGAGTTTTCTCCCCTGAACTGCAGACTCATATGTACAACTTACTCAACATCTCTGCTTGGATGAATACAGAGTTCTTCCCATAAACCTACTTGCTGTGGTTTGGATGTTTGTCTGCTCCAAAGCTCATGAAATCGAATTGCCATTGTAACAGTCTTAAGACGTGGGACCTTTAAGAGGTGATTAGGCCATAGGGGTTCCAACCTCATGGGTAGAATTGGTGCCATTATAAAAGGGCAAGTTTGACCCACTCTTGCTTTCTCTTGCCCCTCCGCCTTCCTCCATATAATGATGCAGCAAGAAGGCTCTTGCCAAGTGCCAACATCTTGATCTTAGACTTCCCAGCCTCCAGAACTATGAGAAAGTTAATTTTTGTTCTTCATAAATTACCCAGCCTGTGGTATTTTATTACAGCAGCACAAATGGAATAAGACATTGATTCACCTCAGTCTTTCCATCTCAGTGAGAAAACCCCATCTTTCTGCTTGTTCAGGCCAAAACTTTTTTTTTAAGATGGAGTCTCATTCTGTTGCCCAGGCTGGAGTTCAGTGGCACAACCTTGGCTCACTGCAACCTCCACCTCCTGGGTTCAAGGGATTCTCCTCCCTAAGCCTCCTGAATAGCTGGGGACTACAGGTGCCCACCACCACACCTGGCTACTTTTTTGCATTTTTAGTAGAGATGGGGTTTTCACCATGTTGGCCAGGCTGGTCTCGAGCTCCTGACCTTAAGTGATCCACCCCACCTTGGCCTCCCAAAATGCAGGGATTACAGGCATGAGCCACTGCACCCAGCCAGCCAGAGTCATCCTCTTCATTTCCTACATTTCACATACAATCTGTCTGTAAACGCTGCTGCCTCTGGTTTCAAAATGTTCTCAGACTCACCACCCCACGATGCCCACGCTAGCCTAAGCCACTATCATCCCTTCCCTGGATTATTGCAATAATATCTCTATTGCTTTCTTTGCACCTTCCAGGCTATTTTCATCCCAGCACCCACAGTGACCCTGTTAAAACCTATATGAGACCCTGTCATTCTTCTGCTCAAAAAATATCATTCCCCATCTCACTCAAAGTAAAAGCCAATCTTTCCAGTGGCCTCTACAATTGAGCATGAACTGACTCCTGATTACCTCTCCGACTTCATCTCTTCTTCCTCTTTTCGCTCATTCTGCTCCAGCCACGTTGACCTCTTTACTGCTCCTCTAACATCTGGGAGAGTTCCGCTTCTGGTTAGGCTGCAGAAAGATATGAAAAGCCTTTGCTACAATGATATCAACAAGAAAAACCCAGACAAAAATAAAAACCATACTTTTCTACTGAGCAGTGCATGCATGGCCTTGATGAGCTGAATTCCAGGAGAAACAAGCCCTTTGTAGGTGAGCAGAAGGCCACCACAGCTTCCATACCTGAGGATGTGCCTGGCCTGGCTACAGGTGAATGAAGGAACATGCCGTGTCCTGTCTAGACTAGACTACAGGGCTTTGTAAGCATAAGAAGGAATCAGCTGAGCCATGGTATGGGCTGGCAAGACAGATTACAATCTGAAAGAGGCCATATAGAAAAGCTGGTCATTTGGGCCGATAATTCTCTGTTCTCCACGCACAAAACTTTGCCACAAAAGCGGCACTGGAGAAGGGGCTGGAAAGCAGAAAGTAAGGACACAGTCCTGCTTAAATTCTGGGGCCCTGCTAGAGTCGAGTTCAAAGATAAATCAAAATGATCTGAATCTGTAAGCTACCCCCACCCAGCTCAATTACTTACAACAGGTAAAAGAGGCAGAAGCTTGGGATTGGGCTACTTACAGGTGTACATAATCTAATTAAAGCTGCAGTCGAGCCTTAACTCAATTCCACTGTCAGAGGACTCCCACTGATCAGCTTCAACTTAACCACCAGAGAGGAAAATGGAATTGCAATTTCTGGGAAGTAAACAAAAAAATATATTTTTGTTTCTACTGTTCTCTTTTTTTTTTTTTTTTTTTTTTTTTAAGACGGAGTTTCTCTCCGGTTGCCCAGGCTGGCACCACGCCCAGCTAATTTTTTGTATTTTTAGTGGAGACGGGGTTTCACAATGTTGGCCAGGCTGGTCTCAAACTCCTGACCTCAAGTGATCTGTCCACCTTGGCCTCCCAAAGTGCTGGGATTACAGGCATGAGCCACCACACCCGGCCAACCTACAGAATTTAAAAGGTCATCAAACCCCAAGTGGGTTAAATACACATCTAGACACATCATAGTCAAGTTGTTGAACCAAAGATAAAATGAAAATCTTAAAAGCAGCCAGAGAAAAATATGAACATTACAATGATAAAAATGATAACTAACTTCTCTTTAAAAACAATGCAAGCCAGAAGACAATAAAATGACATAAGAAATGAAAACTCAGAAAATCTAGAATTCTCTGTCCTAGAAAAATAGCTTTTACAAATGAAACAGAAAAAAAGATATTTTTAGATAAAATACAGCTAAGGGAAATAATTTTTAACAGACATGTACTTCAAGAAATACTCAAAAAGCTGGGTGCAACTGTAGTCCCAGCTACTGGGAAGGCTGTGGCAGGAGAATCACTTGAGCCCAGAAGTTCAAGATCAACTGGGGCAACATAGGGAGACTCCATCACAACAAACAAGCAAAAAAAAAAAAAAGAAAGAAAGAAAGAAAATAAAAAGAAATACTAAAGGGAGTTCTTCGGGCTAGTGAGAAATGATAGCGGTTGGAAGCTCAGATCTACCAGAAGGAATGGAGAGCACTGGGAATATTAAGTATGTGAGTAAATATGAAAGACTATTATAATTTATTTTGAATGACAATTGGCTTTTAAAAATACAATAACCATATATTAGGGGACTTGGTACATGTACAGAAGTAGGATTGGTAATAGTCAAAGGATGGAAGGGGCAAACGGAAGTAAAATGTAACTCTCTTAAATTATTTGTGAAGTGGTATAATGAAGATGCAAAATAAACTGTAACAAGTTAAAGATGCATACTATAATCCCCAGAGCAATTACTAAAAATAAAACAAAGAGGTATAGCTAAAAAGCTAATAGAGGCTGCATGTGGTGGCTCACACTTGTAATCCCAGCACTTTGGGAGGCTGAGGTGGGAGGGCTGCTTGAAGCCAGGAGTTCAAGACCAGCCTGGACAACACAGCAAGACCCAGTCTCGACAAAAAATAACAAATAAATTAGTCAGGCTAATTTATTTATGGTGGTGTGTTCCTGTAGTCCCAGCTACTTGGGAGGCTGAGGCAGGATTGTTTGAGCCCAGGAGGTTGAGGCTGCCGTGATTGCGCCACTGCACTCCAGCTTGGGTAAGAGATCAACACCCTGTCTTGCTTACACACACACACACACACACACACATACACACACACACACACACACACACACACACGAGGCCAATAGAGACAACAAAATTGGATATTAAAAAGTAATTGATCCAGCTGAGCATAGAGGCTCAAGCCTATAATCCCAGCACTTTGGGAGACCAAGGTGGGAGGATCTAGCCTGGGTGACATAGTAAGACCCTGTCTCTACAAAAAATAACAAATAAATTAGCTGGGCATGGTGGCATGTGCCTGTAGTCCCAGCTACCTAGGAAGCCAAGATAGGAGGATCTCTTGAGCCCAGGAAGTCAAGGCTGCAGTGAGCCATGAGTGCACCACTGCACTCCAACCTGGGCAACAGAAAAAGGCCCTGTCTCAAAAAAGAAAAAAGTGCATTGCCACTAACCATCTGCATTGCCTTTAACCACACCCACTTCCCTGGCTTGGCCAAACACTTAAAGAGCACTGTACTGAGTGTCTAGTACAGTGTTGCTCAAACCCTAATGAATTGCCTGGCAATCTTGTTACAATGCAAACTACATTTTTATTATCAAGGCTATTTGACTATCAAGGTAGGGGATTCAAAGATGACCAAGACAAGGTCCCTGTCTTCATTTTGCTTAAAACCCAGACAATACAGCATGGGGGAGAAGGTGAACAGGCCCAAAGGATGGTGGAAAGACAGCAGAAGAATAATTTCACTGGTTTCAATAAAAAGAGTGCATGGTTTTGGTAGATGGTTGAAAGATTTAATGACTAAGCGCATTTAGCAAGAGAGAGCTGGGCTACAGCAAAACTCAGAGAAGTGTGTCCATGCAACCCAGAAGAATATGCTCCGGGGATCCTTACTTTTCTTCTCTTTATCCTGATGGAAATTGCTGAAAGGAAAGAGACTACAGTCTTCGCATGTGCAATGTGGGTGTTTTACTGTAGGCAAAGAAGGCTCAAGATTGGCTATGGGGCACCTTGGAGAAATAGGCCCTGAGGATCAGTTCAGGTGTGGACTCTTCTTGCAAAGGTAAATGCAAGCAGAGAGGGCAAAGCATCGAGCAAGAGCATGACTCATTGTGAGTTGTCTTGAATTCTTGTCAATTCTAAACAGAGGGCTCTGCCTGCTTCTTTTGAATCAGGTCTGCTTAGATGGGTACAGATTTTGGTACAATTTTCAATCTAACACCCTCCCTGATGCAGGGCTAAGTCTGGCTCATCACTCAGTATCTGCACAGGGCAGTGTATTCAACAGGGTTCTTTTAGAGGGACACAACTAATAAGAATATATATATTATATATATATAAGTTAATATATATATGTGTAAGTTAATACTTAATAAACTCCCCTTT